GTTTCATTCTGTTTGATATTGGATCCGAAGATGCTCGTCCTTTAAATTAGTACAGCGTGGAGGATAAGCAGCATTTGACTCAGGGATCTAAATCTTTGACCTCTGGGTCTGAATGAAAAAAAAAATTACAAGCCAATAGAGAATATCTTTCTCATTGTTCTCAGTTCCAAACATGGCACAATTACAGAGTTGTGGAACTGTCAGAACAATCTATGCAGCAGTTTATTAGAATCTACAAATATAGTGGACATGGATCAGCCTCGGTTTTCCTGGCTCTGTTATTGGCTGTAATAAATATAGGTAAGTTATTTAACCTGTAGTTCTTATTTATGTACAAATAATAAAATGAGAGTTTTATAAAGTTCCTAAAGGAAAAAAAAAGTCACTTATCCATGAGGAGTCTATGAATATTATTTTATAATTATTAATACATCTATCAGAGATAATGTTGCTAATGTTAAATGACTAGAAAACCAGTGTTGATTTTGCTTTCGGATCTTCATGAGGGCATTCCTGGTTTGTCTACCAGATCTGCTGTTTGTTAAACCATCATGAGCATACAGTAAAACCAAACGGTTGGGAGAAGCACAGTGACAGTTAAGCACATCTGCCAGGGGACCTCTCCCTTTGTCCTCTCCATCCTTTCAGATGTGCAATGGAGGGGCTGGTGAAGCACTCCCCTGGTGCGGTGCCTTTCCTAACCACCTGCCAGCAGATTCTCTTCTCTACTGGTTTCAGGCAATGACATCATCATCCTTCAGACTCAAATCCTGTTTACACTCGCTCCTCAGCAGGCCAGCCTCTTCTTTCTAATCTAAGTCTCTTTTTTTGGCCTCACCTTATTTAGTAGAGATTCTTAAAGGTATCAGGGTCTAATTTATCTGCCTGCTGTGGCTTCCCTGGTGGCTCAGATGGTAAAGAGTCTGCCTGCAATGTGGAAGACCCAGGTTCGATCCCTGGGTCAGGAAGATCCCCTGGAGAAGGAAATGGCAACCCAGTCCAGTATTCTTGCCTGGAAAATTCCATGGACTGAGGAGTTTGGTATTCTACAGTCCATGGGGTTGCAAAGAGTCGGACACAACTGAGTGACTTCACTTCACTCTGTCTTTAATACCTTGTAGTATCTTAAGTAGTTATTAAGGTATTACATTCCTATAGACATAAAAGAAGAAAATGCTTGATCACATGAGAACTGCTATGTATGTAGACCCTTTATGTAATACAGAAAGATGCAAAGAATGATTTCTTAAGTCAGTAACACATCAAGGCAATAAAAATTATCTATATGGATCCAGATACTATCTTTTACCAAGGCTCCTCTGTTGATGCCTAATTAGCATGTTAGGCTTTATGCTGATATTTGCTGGCACGGGACTGTTAACTTCTTAATATCATGAGCAGAGTATTGGAAACAGGGACAATATCTTCGCAGACTTGAATTTAGAACAGTTATTCTCTTTTTTTTTTTCCATTTATTTTTATTAGTTGGAGGCTAATTACTTTACATCATTGCAGTGGTTTTTGTCATACATTGAAATGAATTAGCCATGGATTTACATGTATTCCCCATCCCAATCCCCCCTCCCACCTCCCTCTCCACCCGATCCCTCTGGGTCTTCCCAGTGCACCAGGCCCGAGCACTTGTCTCATGCACCCAACCTGGGCTGGTGATCTGTTTCACCCTAGATAATATACATGTTTTGATGCTGTTCTCTTGAAACATCCCACCCTCGCCTTCTCCCAGAGTCCACAAGTCTGTTCTATACATCTGAGTCTCTTTTTCTGTTTTGCATATAGGGTTATCGTTACCATCTTTCTAAATTCCATATATATGTGTTAGTATACTGTAATGGTCTTTATCTTTCTGGCTTACTTTGCTCTGTATAATGGGCTCCAGTTTCATCCATCTCATTAGAACTGATTCAAATGAATTCTTTTTAATGGCTGAGTAATATTCCATGGTGTATATGTACCACAGCTTCCTCATCCATTCGTCTGCTGATGGGCATCTAGGTTGCTTCCATGTCCTGGCTATTATAAACAGTGCTGCGATGAACATTGGGGTGCACGTGTCTCTTTCAGATCTGGTTTCCTTGGTGTGTATGCCCAGAAGTGGGATTGCTGGGTCATATGGCAGATCTATTTCCAGCTTTTTAAGAAATCTCCACACTGTTTTCCATAGTGGCTGTACTAATTTGCATTCCCACCAACAGTGTAAGAGGGTTCCCTTTTCTCCACACCCTCTCCAGCATTTATTGCTTGTAGACTTTTGGATAGCAGCCACCCTGACTGGCGTGTAATGGTACCTCATTGTGGTTTTGATTTGCATTTCTCTGATAATGAGTGATGTTGAGCATCTTTTCATGTGTTTGTTAGCCATCTGTATGTCTTCCTTGGAGAAATGTCTGTTTAGTTCTTTGGCCCATTTTTTGATTGGGTCGTTTATTTTTCTGGAGTTGAGCTGGAGGAGTTGCTTGTATATTTTTGAGATTAATCCTTTGTCTGTTGCTTCATTTGCTATTATTTTCTCCCAATCTGAGGGCTGTCATTTCACCTTGCTTATAGTTTCCTTTGTTGTGCAAAAGCTTTTAAGTTTCATTAGGTCCCATTTGTTCATTTTTGCTTTTATTTCTAAAATTCTGGGATGTGGGTCATAGAGGGTCCTGCTGTGATTTATGTCAGAGAGTGTTTTGCCTATGTTGTCCTCTAGGAGTTTTATAGTTTCTGGTCTTACATTTAGATCTTTAATCCATTTTGAGTTTATTTTTGTGTATTGTGTTAGAAAGTGTTCTAGTTTCATTCTTTTACAGGTGGTTGACCAGTTTTCCCAGCACCACTTGTTAAAGAGGTTGTCTTTTTTCCATTGTATATCGTTGCCTCCTTTGTCGAAGATAAGGTGACCATAGGTTCGTGGATTTATCTCTGGGCTTTCTATTCTGTTCCATTGATCTATATTTCTGTCTTTGTGCCAGTACCACACTGTCTTGATGACTGTGGCTTTGTAGTATAGTCTGAAGTCAGGCAGATTGATTCCTCCAGTTCCATTCTTCTTTCTCAGGATTACTTTGGCTATTCGAGGTTTTTTGTATTTCCATACAAATTGTGAAATTATTCGTTCTAGTTCTGTGAAAAATACTGTTGGTAGCTTGATAGGGATTGCATTGAATCTATAGATTGCTTTGGGTAGTATAGCCATTTTGACAGTATTGATTCTTCCAATCCATGAACACGTTATATTTCTCCATCTATTTGTGTCAACTTTGATTTCTTTCATCAGTGATTTATAGTTTTCTATATATAGGTCTTTTGTTTCTTTAGGTAGATATACTCCTAAGTATTTTATTCTTTTTGTTGCAATGGTGAATGGTATTGTTTCCTTAATTTCTCTTTCTGTTTTCTCATTGTTAGTGTATAGGAATGCAAGAGATTTCTGTGTGTTAATTTTATATCCTTCAACTTTACTGTATTTGTTGATTAGCTCTAGTAATTTTCTGGTAGAGTCTTTTGGGTTTTCTATGTAGAGGATCGTGTCATCTGCAAACAGCGAGAGTTTCACTTCTTCTTTTCCTATCTGGATTCCTTTTACTTCTTTTTCTGCCCTGATTGCTGTGGCCAAAACTTCCAAAACTATGTTGAATAGGAGTGGTGAGAGTGGGCACCCTTGTCTTATTCCTGATTTCAGGGGAAATGCTTTCAATTTTTCACCATTGAGGGTGATGCTTGCTGTGGGTTTGTCATATATAGCTTTTATTATGTTGAGGTATGTTCCTTCTATTCCTGCTTTCTGGAGAGTTTACAAAACGATCACAAGCAAGGAAATCGAAACTGTAATCAGAAATCTTCCAGCAAACAAAAGCCCAGGACCAGATGGCTTCACAGCTGAATTCTACCAAAAATTTAGAGAAGAGCTAACACCTATCTTACTCAAACTCTTCCAGAAACTTGCAGAAGGTAAACTTCCAAACTCATTCTATCACCCTAATTCCAAAACCAGACAAAGATGCCACAAAAAAAGAAAACTACAGGCCGATATCACTGATGAACATAGATGCAAAAATCCTTAACAAAATTCTAGCAAACAGAATCCAACAACATATTAAAAAAATCATACATCATGACCAAGTGGGCTTTATCCCAGGAATGCAAGGATTCTTTAATATCCGCAAATCAATCAATGTAATACACCACATTAACAAATTGAAAGATAAAAACCATATGATTATCTCAATAGATGCAGAAAAAGCCTTTGACAAAATTCAACATCCATTTATGATTAAAACTCTCCAGAAAGCAGTTATTCTCAATCATCATTTAGTCACCAAGTATGTGCCAGGTGCTGTTCTAAATACTTGTGATATATCAGTCAATGAGACAGACCCCACCCCCCGCAAAAAAAAAAAAAAAAAATCCCTGCTCTCCTGGGACTTGCTTTTCATTTAACATGTTTACATAAAAGAACAGGTGGGTTTCTGTACCTGGTTGCCTCCTCCAGATATCCCTGTGTTTTGCCCTTGGGTTCCACAGTGTGTGTTGTCTAGGAAATAGCCTGCTTCCCAACACTGAGAAAGTTATATCACAGGTGGACTTTTCAGATAGGACAGGCTCGGCAGGCTTCTCTTGATGCCTTGCGAGACCTTCTCCTGCTTTTCCAGAGTACCAGTGTGACATACTTTTCAACTGCAGCCAGGCTATGCCACCAGTCATGAAATGCTGCAATCCCAGCTCAGGTTTATACAAGTAGAGTGTGGTCAATGTTAGCCAGAACCACTCTGCAGAGTTTTCATTTAGTTTTCTTTTGACAAGATAGAGTATAGAAACAGTTAAATAGAACAAAGTTCACTGTAACATTTCCAAAATTAGTAACTATCATTTGATTGTTTTCAATGGAAAGAATAAGAAATTTTAAGAATAGACTTTAGGTGAAGGTGGAAAAAAGCACGAATGAGGCCATGGAGTGGATGAATAACAAGCTGAATCTGCAGAACAAGCAGAGTCTGACCATGGATCCAGTTGTCAAGGCAAAAGAGATTGAAGCTAAAATTAAAGAGCTGACGAGTATCTGCAGCCCTATTATTTCAAAGCCCAAACCCAAAGTGGAACCTCCAAAAGAGGAGCAAAAAAATGCAGAGCAGAATGGACCAGTGGATGGACAAGGAGACAACCCGGGCCCTCAGGCTGCTGAGCAGGGTACAGACACAGCTGTGCCTTCGGATTCAGACAAGAAGCTTCCTGAAATGGACATTGATTGATTCCAACAATTGTTTATATTAAAACAGACTATTATAAAAAAAAAAAGAATGGAGAATTGTTACTGTTTAGGAGATTTGAAGAACAAATAATTATGCTTGGATTAAAAGACACATAGAGGATGTGGATCAACATGGATTGTGTGTGTGTGTGTGTGTGTGTGTATCTTAAGGAATAGAGGAAATGTGATTTAAGAGCTGGGAAAGTGTGCAATATCCTCTGGTTTCAGAACCAATAATCTCTCACATGCTTTGTAAATGCACAAAGTGCTACCTGGGATGGATTTGAAAACCTCTAAATTCACTGAAATAGTTGTAAAATCACATGGAGACGGTTGACAGTTGACTGCATTCAAAGGAAGCTCCTATATGTTGTTTGCTCTAGCAGGCACGGGGAATGTATTGAGCTTGTGAAATGTGCTTTCCATAACCCATTAACAAAATCTGCCTGGATTACAATCTCCAGCCTTTTCCCTTTTCACTCTCATATTAGAGATACATAAAATCCTCAGTACTGGGAGCATGGGGGAATGCAGTTTTCAACACAGGATGTGTGATAGCTCATTGAGCACACCTGGGCTATATTCCCGGTTAGATCCTCCACATACCCAATCCTGACATCAGAACTGATTTCTGTCGGCTTTAATGTGCCTGAAAAATTTCTTTCAAGACAGTTTCCTCTTCTAACATATCCCAGGGGAATTTCCCCCTGGGAGTGTGTGAGGCAACATTAGATTTTGACTGTGATAAGATATTGCCATGTTGGGAGAGTTTTGTAAGACAAGTAGCACGTTACATCTGTTGTTTTCCTTATATAGGGTGTATTTCACATGGAATGATACTGGAACACAACCCAGGACTCTGTCTTAACTCCCCTGCAGTCTTGTACTCCCTCCTCTTCAATGATGGCAGCTCCTGAAGCGCTTAGTAACATATGGTTAGCCTATCTGTGAAGTGTCCTGAACGCAGTGCATTTGCTTTCTGACTCTGGAGTATTGTGTTTCACATGGGGCATCATATTTTTTACAGGGCTCTTGACAAGCTGGAACTTAGCCACCAGAAACCTTTTTTTGGAACATGGTAGGAGAAAAAAAATAATTACTTTCATATATGTATAACTAGTACTTCAGTAATAGAGGGCTCCAAGAATGGTGAAAGTCGGCAAAGTGCGGTGAGAAACCATTTTTAAGATGCTGGGAGGTGTTCAGCCTAGAGGGATTGATTATTTATTTATTTTTTGCAGGGGGTGGTGGCTATGATCCAAATATTTGAAAGACTGTCATGTGAAAATGCAAATTATTTTTTCTTTTTCCATGGAGTTCCAGTCAGCAGAACTAGACTTGGTATGTGGGATTCATGGGTAAACAGATTTTTATTCTGTGTGAGGCAGATCATTCTGCTTATTAGAGTTGTGCAGGGATGGGATATATATGTGCAAGCAAAAGACATAAGACCTTGTAAAGAGAATCCCTATACTGAAAAAGTAGTTAGGTCAGATCTGTGAAGATGTCTTCCAATTCAAATATTCGGTACTTTTCTGAATTAGGAGTTTCTGGTTCAATTTTCATTTTGACAGAGGATTGATAAAGGCTTGAAAGACTTTATTTTTTTTTTCCCTTCCTATGTCCCCTAATGGGATAAGATAATTGAGCCAACTAAGCTATTCTATGGCTTTAACAAAGTTTGTCTTATATCAGTTTTTCGTTTGCTTGCTTTTTTGAGTTATTTTCCCTTCGGAAGCATGTAATCCTATATGAAAGAAAACTTATAACAACTAAGAATCCATGGGTCCTCTTGATAGCCTGAACAAGCTCTTAAGATTTTAACTGAACTTAGTATCTTGCAGCTTCCCTGCTCGTAGAGCCGACCTGTGGGTGTTGCCTCCTCAACATTTGTTCCTATTTCCTCTCCTTCAGCCTCCTCCACTGGATGCAGTCTTGGTATTTCCCTCAATCAGAGCTCCTTGCCTTTTCCAGGCTAAGGTGTGGGGGCCTGTCTCCCTCTTGGCCAATCAGACTCTCTCTTGGGAATTTGAGTGATGAGACCCGGTGACTCAGGCACTGAGAGAGGTTGGAGCTGACTGTCTCACTACAGCCCATGGTGCAGGTCAAGTCTTTCAGGGCTGGTTTCCTGGATCCACATGCAGATGGAATGCTGATCTCACAAGTTGTTTGTTATGTGGCCATATTGCTTGATTGTTAATGAGGAATTTATATCAAGCTCTGGAGTGTGTCCTTGTTTCCAGTGAGAAGGGAAAATGATATATAGGCAGTGTGTACAATTAAGCATCTTTTGGGGAGAGATTTCCACAGGCTCATTTAACTAGAGGCCTTAGGGTGTGAGAATTCCTGTTTCCTGTAGTGCTGGAAAGTTAAGGTCAAATGCTGGATGTGTTTCAAGTTCTGAGACAATAACAGCCGATTTCAAAGCTGGTGTTTGTGTGTGCGTGCATATGTGTGTGTACAGAACTGGAGAGGAAAAGCAGCCTCTAAAACTTTGCTTTGAAAGATGCCAAAACACTGAGCCACATATTTGTATGGAAAAGATCTGTGTGTTTGGATGAAACTTGTCCCTTTCGTAAATACAAGGCATGGGGAGGCCTGACTCCTCTTGCCCTGCTTTTGAACTTTTGTTCACATTAAGCAATTTCCCTCACCTTGGCGTTTAACTTCCCTTTGTAGTGAAATTCATGAGTACAGTGACCTGGCAAGAAAATGACGGAAAGAAAGGGTCTGTTGGACTAGATTGCGCTTTTCCTGAACACTCTGATATATCAGGATGTATGGAACATGAGTCATCACTTTCTGCTGGAAACTTTTATGACCTTTACGGAGTAGGTCAAACTCCTCCCAAGCTGTGCTTCTTCACACCCCAGTGCATGACAATAAAAGGGCAAATCCTAGGGAGGCAGAAGCACATTCATATTTTCTTGCAATCTGTTACACATTATTGTCTTTGGACACACTTTGCTTCACATGATGGTACTAATGGTAGGAACTAAGGTCAGGAGCGATGGGAGATTTGTCTGGCATGCCTTTCATGACTGTTCTAACTCTCAGTTGAGGTAAACTTAGAGCCCTGTTAGAGTGTTGGTGAAGGGGAGGAGAATCTCTATGAAAATCATTATAGGGGAGGCCCCTTAGGAAAAGCTACATTCCATACTGTGAGTCCAAGCCTTTCAGTAAACTAGAACTTGATGATAAACTAGAACAAACAGGTGAAAGTACTACAGCAATATTCCGGTCAAGGGTCATTGTGTAGAGAGTTACTCAGGTCTACTTTTCCCAGGACCTCACAGTTTGATCAATGACGTCAATAGAGAAGACTGTTAACTTTCAAGAAGAGTTTATATTACCTATACTATACTCTTTAAAAATCTGGGGACTGGGGTGTGGTGCAAGGGAGTAGGCTGGGGAAAATACACTGAAAATTTAAGTTTAGTAGAACTTGTTCATAGAGGACCCACCAGCTATGTCAGCCCCTATTTTTTATTCTATAGGAATACTTCATCTTTCTAAAATCAGTTAGAAATGCAGAAGCCTACACAGTGAATTTTTCTTATCTAAAAATTAAACCCTTAAGGCTTCTGACCACTTTTAACTTTTAATCTTTTTAAAATGAATTATGCACTTCTTTGCTTTCTTAAAAGATTTAGTTAAGATGATATAACATTTCCATTTTTCTGTTTACTGTCAAATGCTTGGCTGTCACTTCTCATGATTGCCATTCCTTCCTCTAATGGACTTTCTCCCCATGACTAATTTGCCACTTTTAAATGGCAATGGCTAAAAATTCAACATGAATAAGCTTAGAAATGTTGATGATATAGGTCTTTGAATGGGAGAGAAGAAACGCTCGAGTTAGGAATATGAACTTTAACGGAATGAGTTTGGTGACATGCATTGTCTCATCTTGGAGACCTTTACAGACGTTTCCCAGAGGATCTTTTTTGTCCATCTTTTGTTCTCAGTGGTGTCTTAGACATTTGCAGTTACCAGATAAGTGACCTTCAGATAAGTAAGAACTTTTCTTCAAAGGTTAGAAAAAGAATTGAAGATATCTATTATGCACTTGGGAGTTGGGGTCAGGTGCAGAGTAGGTGGCAAAGTCATTTAAATTCAACAGTTTGATGGCTGTCCCTATGCCAACTTTCTCTGAGTGACTGCATAGGCATCTTCCACAGTGAAGATGCTGTGTCAGCATGAAGAAAAGTGGCAGACAGCTCCTAAAGATGCTATATATTGGGGACAGACTGGAAGGGCAGTGTTTGGATGTAACAGATAAAATGGGGAGGAGTCTTCTGCAGAGTTCGGCTGATGGACTTTGTGACTGTGACCAAGAGTTAGCACTCTGTGTTGTTAATTGAGCCATCTATAAAACTGAGTGGCCTGTTCTCTAGGACTGTATTTATCGAGAGTTCAAGTGTCCAGTGAGTCTCAGAGCATTTAGGAGCTTGGAAAAAGTACCCTGCCAACACACACTGTCAATACTTTTATTTTAGACTAAGGAACCTAAGCAGATGAGAACAAGGCTATGCCCTAGGGTGAGCCGACCAAGAGCCCAGAGTCTATGACTTCAAAGCCAGTGATTTATTTATTTTTTTTTAAATACCATAATGTTTTTAAACAAAATTTTGTGAGTGTAACCAAAGGTTTTCCATTAGGAGCAAACCTATTGTTAGTTTCCAGATGTCAAAATTCTAATGTTAAGATTAGGTGATTTTTCACACTTAAGCAAAAGATGGCAATTGATCATCTCTGGTAGATGATCAAATGATTTAGAAAAGTTGTTTTTATCTTTTTTATCTATCAGTAGATGGCAGGAGATAACCATCAAAACAGGATTTAAAAACAAAGCAAAATGACAGAATTCAGTCTTTGTTCCCTGCATTCCCGGGGAAAATCGCTATCTAGGGTAGTCAGTGAGCTGGTAGGTTGGTACCTGGGGAAACAGTGTTTTTGAATATGGATTTGAGTTCAATTATTAGGTTCCTGGTTAATCTG